TCATAGCAGTTTGAACTTGTAACGGGAGGCTTTTTGGATCTTCATATTACTATCAACAACAATTCTATTCACACGAAAATCTATGATAAAAGAGATGACTTTGACTTTTGCATAGTTAATTATCCACATTTAGATGGAGACGTACCCCATGCAACATCTTACGGGGTTTATGTTTCTCAGTTAATTAGATTCGCTAGAGCTTGTAGCAACGTTAAGGATTTCAACGAGCGGAATATTTTTATTACCAACCAGCTTCTAAAACAGGGCTACCGCTATCATAAATTACGGAAATATTTTACTAAATTTTACAATCGTAACTTTGATTTAAAATCGAAATTCAATAGTGATTTAAAAACTCTTCTGCGACAAGGGATTAGCCAGCCTGGTTTTTATGGCGATGTGATTTACAAACTTCGTAAGATTTTGGGTCATGGTAATTTTTCTGCTGTTTTACTAAAATCATTAAACGTTTTATTAAAAGAGGTTATGACCCTACTATTTTAAGAAATACTGCATGTTTAGTGTTCAACCCTTTTACAGTTGGACACTACGCTTTCCTCTTTTGATTGCATCTGACGGACCAAGTGGGAGACTCTATGATGGATAGTTCGTAAAGCCCTTTGGGACTGAATTGTCTTAATGTTCGTCTTCTGCCTTGCTTCGTCGGGCCCTTGTAGGTGATTTTCTTGTTGCTCTGTCTTCCTTTAGGACATTGAGTACTTTTGTTATGGTCATCGGGTTTATTTTTATATGTTTCTACATGATCATTTTAGTGTTTTACTAATTTAACCTTTTGTAACCATGACAACTGTTAGAATTTCACTTGGCGGGGATTCATTTTATTTACACTGTCTCGTTTATAGGAACATGGTGGGGCTAAGAGCGAGGTTTTGTGCACCATTAACCGGTTTAAACTCCCCAGCAGTCATTATTATGCTGCTGACCGTTCAAAGGCGGCGCCCCACTGTGTTCCTCAGATGTATGTCTATGTTGTTTCATACTGTTTTGGTGACACTTTTGCTTGTGTCCCTTGTTGTTTTCTCGTCTACGGTAAGTATCTTCCCCATTGCCTCTAGTTTTTATTTCTTTGATTAAACCAATTTCCCTGGTCTCCTGTCCCCTTCCCCTTTGTGGGCCTATTATTCTTTTCTTTGAATTCCTAATCAGTTACAAATTATTTATCATTTAATGATTAACCTGTCCGTCCTCTGTCTTTGCCCTGTCCTGTTTTTGTTTGGGGTCCGCCTGGGCTCCTTGCCATTGGTTCTTGTTGCTTGGTCATATGGGGGTTGCGTTCATTGAACGCCGCCTTTCCTTGTTGATCTTGTTTATCATATTTTAAATGAAGACGGCAATTTTTTTACAGGGTAAAATGTTATTATAAACATTAAAAACATTATAAATGTCACAAAACCAGAATTTTTAACCAAAATTAGGTGTAAGGGCACGTGTTAACATGGAAAAACTAGTTTTTGGGTTATTCAAAGGGTTTTCATCATTTTTTTGTTAACTTTTAACCTCATGTAGACGAGTTTGGAAGGCTTTCTTGCCCCCCCCCCCTTGACACAGTGAAATGTTGTTAAAAAGCTACCACTTTTTCGGCGCCGCCTGGCATCAAGATGGTTTATCACAGGGTTGTCAGAAGGGGGATGTGCCCCCTTCTGTTTGGGAGGTTTGAAGGCGGGGGGAAAGTCCTGCTCATCGCCACATGTAACAGGCTAAAAATGGCCTAAGGTCGATCGTAGCGTAGCTATTAACCATCGCTGAAAAGCCTTTTACCATATCTATTGAGAAATTGAAGCACTTTGAAATCAGTTTTGAATGAAAAGCAATGCAAAATACAGATTTGTTTGCAATTATGAAACGTCCCCCGTTGCCATGGTAACATAGTTTCATGGCAGATTGAAATTGTAACAAGAGGCTTTCAATGAAAACGGCCAATTTTCACAATAAGCCCATGGGGTAAAATTATAATGAAAAACATTAAAAATGTCACAAAACAACAAGTTTTCACCAAAATTAGGTGAAAGGGCACGTGTTAACATGGAAAAGCTATTTTTTGGGTAATTCCAAGGCTTTTCATCATTTTTTGTTAATTAAAAAGTAATAAATGTCACAAAAAGACAATTTTTCACCAAAATTAGGTGTAAGGTAACGAATAAACATGGAAATACTAGATTTTGTGTAATTCCAAGGATTTTTCTTCATTTTTGTTAATTAAAAAAAATAGAAAATTTCACAAAACAACAATTTTTCTCCAAAATTACGTGTAAGGGCAAGTGTTAACAAGGAAAAACTAGTTTTTTGGTAATGAAAAGGTTTTTCATCATTTGTTGTATATTACAAAAAAATGTCCCAAAATAACAATTTTCACCAAAATTAGGTATAAGAGCACATCTTAACATGGAAAAACTAGTTTCGGGGTAATTGCAAGGTTTTCATCATTTTTTTGTTAATTAAGAAAAAATGTCAAAACAACAATTTTCACCAAATTAGGTGTAAGGACACGTTTTTACATGGAAAAACTAGTATTTGTGTAATTCTAAGGTTTTTAATCAATTTTTGTTAAGAAAAAAACAATGTCCCAAAACAACAATTTTAACCAAAATTAGGTGTAAGGGCTGGTGTTTACTTCGAAAAACTAGTTTTTCGGTAATTCCAAGGTTGTTTATCAATTTTGTTAACTAACATGGAAAAAACTAGTTTTGGGGTAATTCCAAGGTTTTTCATCATTTCATATTAATTAAAATATGTCACAAAACAACAATTTTAACAAAAATAAGGTGTAAGTGCACGTGTTCAATTCGAAAAACTAGTTTTTGGGTAATTCCAAGGTTTTTCATCATTTTTTTGTTAACCCATTACTGCATGAGCATTTTGTTAAAAATGGTTGTTTTCATTGAAAAGTCTCCGTTACAAGTTCAAATTGCTATAAAACTATTAAAAAATCCTGCTTCAATACTAATCAAACTTGGGACAAATGTTGACTGGACCATTGCCTTTGTAACAACGTGCTAAGTCTTAAATTTCCTGTTACCATGGCAACGAGGGGCCAAAATCACTATTTTGCATTGATTTTTTCCATCAAAATTGATTTCAAAGTGCTGCAACTTCTAAATGGATTGAGATAGTGTCAAAGGCTTTTCAGCGTTGGTTAATTTACCTTGTGATCGATCTGGGGTCATTTTAGCCTCTCACAAGTCCAAGACTTTCTTCGCGATGAGGGGGACTGCCACCCTTCAAACCCCTAAACAGAAGGGGGCACATTTCCCTTCTGGCAACCACCTGATGTATCTTTTGAATAGGGGGCGCGCCGAAAAACTTTTTAAGCAACATTTCTTAAACAAAAACAAGAGTTGGGGGCCTAAATAAGACATTTTAACCATTTCAGTCAACAGAAAAGGAGAATGAAAAAAGCGTTAAAAGGCCTGTATATCGTGCAATGGGTTAATTAAAAAAAATACAAATATCACAAAACAACATTTTGTACCAAAATGAGGTGTTAGCGCACATGGAAAAAGTAGGTTTTGGGTAATTCAAAGGTTTTTCATCATTTTTGTTAATTAAAAAAAGTAAAAAATGTCACAAAACACAAATTGTTCACCATAATTATGTGTAAGGGCAAGTGTTAACATGATAAAAAACTAGTTTTGGGGTAATTCCAAAGCTTTTGATCATTTACTGTGTATTTAAAGAAATTAAAAATGTGACAAAACACAATTTTTTCACCATAATTAGGTGAAAGGGCACGTGTTAACATGGAGAAAATAGTACTTGGGTAATTCTAAGGTTTTTCATCATTTTCTGTTAATTTTTTACCTCATATAGATGTGTTTTGACGGCTTTTTGTCCCCCCCCCCCCGTCTACCATTTGAGGCCTCAAACAGTGAAAAAAATCCTATTTAGGACTCTTTTTTGTTTGAAAAAGGTTGTTAAAACAATGCAAAATACTTATTTTAGCAATTTTGAGACGTCCTCCGTTGCCATGGTAACATGAAATTTACGATTGAGAATGTTGTTACCGAGGCTATGGTCCTGTCAACATTTTGCCAAGTTTCACCAGTATTAAACCATTTTTCATTGTTTCATAGCAGTTTGAACTTGTAACTAGATGCTTTTAAATGAAAACGGCCATTTTTCACAATAAGCTGGTGGGGTAAAAGGTTAATTCAAAACATTACAAATGTCACAAAACAATAACTTTTTCACCAAAATTAGGTGTAAGGGCACGTGTTAACATGAAAAAAGGTTTTGGGTAATTTCAAGGTTTTTCATCATTTTGTGTTAATTAAAAAACTAAACAATATCACAAAACAACAATTTCTGTTTACATGTAAAAACTCGATTTTGGGTAATTCCAAGGTTTTTTCATCATTTTTTGTTAACAGTTTACCTCATATACACGTGATTTGACGGCTTTTTGACCCCCACCTTTATGAGGCCTCAGTGAAAAAAATGCCCTATTTAGGCCCTAAACACTGTTTTACGTTTGAGAAATGTTGTTAATAAAGTGACCACTTTTTCGGCGCCGCCTCCCATCAAAATGGTACATCAGGGGGTTGCCAGAAGTAGGATCTGCACCCTTCTGTTTAGGGGATTTGAAGAGGGCGGTAGTCCGGTTCTTTGCCAAGAACATTTTGAACATGTGAGAGGCTAGAAATGTCCTAAATTCGATTTTACGGTAACTAGAAACCGGCGCTGAAAAGCCTTTGAAATCAGTTTTGATGGAAGAAAAACAATGCAAAATAGTAATTTTTCGCAATTTTGAGACGTCCCCCGTTGCCATAGTAACAGGAAATTCACGATTGAGAATATTGTTACAGGGGCTATGGTCCAGTTAACATTTGTGCCAAGTTTCATCAGTATTGAAGCATCATAGTTTTTTAGTAGTTTGAACTTGTAACAGTATGCTTTTCAATGAAAACGGTCAATTTTCACAACAAGCTCATATGGTTTAAGTTTCATCTTTTCTAAGAATTGTTAAAAAAAAACGTAATTGCCTTGTTTCTCCCTGTCGTTATCTACAGTTTTGCGTAACACATGAGGTTCCGTGTCTTGTTTCCCAAGCACGTTCTTTGACAGTGTTCTCTGAAAATAACGTAAGATAAACATGTCAAGCTATTTTTCATATATCACAGAGATAATTTCATCTTAGTTTTTCTATATTTTGCGTGTTCTTCGATGTTTTTGATTCACAATGTTTCATTGGTGCTAAATAAATACTGCTAAAGCCGGTGTAAGAGGGTGTGATATGTGTCATGCATGATTTCCATTTTAAACTTATCACTTTGTTTCCAGATTTACATTTAATTAGGTTGTTTTTACTCTACATATGATGTCAACAATAACAAAAGCATCTCTTAGGCGTGGCAATATATGCCCGAATGCATTAGTTGGTAATAAAGTTGTAAGTAATTTATAGTTATCAAATACAATTTTTAAACAGAAAGGAAATACATTTATAAATTGTGTCCGGAACATGCTTTAATTCAAATATCAATATTAAGATCTATACTGATATATGCCAAAGACCGTTGCTTTTGTCATATGAATACTAAAAGATAATTAGATAAGCTACATAAACGATCTCCGGGAAAGGAGCAATAACGACCTTTGGAACATAATTTATTTGACATGTTGAATGAAGTTACTGTAACTAACCAAATATCTAAGTCTTTCGCAGTGTTAATCTAAGAATAGTTAATGCTGTTTTTCGTAAGTATAACGCTTTTATAGGCCTTATTGAAGATAAGTGGCAATTTTAAGCAGATGGTTTTCAGAATTTTATATTTAAGTCTTTTCTTGTCTAATGTTATCTACTGGTACATAAGCCTAACATCATTGAAATTCTTTTCAGTGAGGGGTACTGAAAGATTGTGCATTTAGTGAGGGGTACTGAAAGACTTTTCATATTCCTGTGAAATATATTTGAAATTTACCATATATTTAAGTGGAAGTTTGCCAAAAGATATATGTATGCCATTATCCATTACAAAGATAAGCAACCTTCAATGTAGTTGGTACCTTCTTTGATATATTTGTTAAACCTTTTTCTTTCTCTTAGGGAGAGAGATAAAAATTCCATGTTTCTGTCGAGTTTATAGTTTTCAATTTGAAAATCAGAAATTTATAAAAGAAATTACTTTTCACAAACATTTAATAAAATCTGATTTCTTAACCAACAAATCATGGACTTTTGTAATACTAAAAAAGCTAAAACTTTGCATTCATAGACACCGATTATTTTTTTGAATATGTTCTGTTCTTTACTTCTTTTACTGATTTGGCGTTTGTATCAAAAGAAACTGTTTATTCTACTTTTGATTTGTGACCGACTTATCTCAAAATATGCCAATTTTCAACGTAAGAAAATTACTTACTTTTAAAACTCCCTCTCTTTTAGTTTCCATTTTTCCTCCTGTCATCACATTCCTGCCCCATTGATAAAAAGAGGATACCAGTTGCCACATTATTTATGTTGTCTTTTACCAATATCTGTAAGCTACATACAGAATATTTGATATATAGAACATGAAGCCATATACAATAATTTTAAATTAGTTTTTCAGTCTTAATTTGTGTTTACTGAGTATCCACTTAATTGATCTATAGTCATGAGTATAAACTTTTGTATAGGTATTTTACAAAACTATACATGCAAATATATATGCCTCTTAACTTGCCTTTTGCATAATGCAAGTATATTATAGATGATTATAACATTAATTTAATGGCTAATTCTTCATCGGTCCTCACGAGCAGACAGTTGGTATAAAAACATGTGTATTGTTATCTATTATACTGGATTCTGATTTGTTTAATACATGTTTTAAGTTAAGGTTTACTTCAAATATATCAGCACATGTTATCGGCGAGTGTAAGTCTGTGAACTTTTTTCTACGTTCACATCTGACCTGTTGACATAGTTGATAATTTTTCAACTTGAGTGAATATTAACCTCTGATTAAAATACGTCTTATACGCCTGATCACTAGTTAAATCTTGATCAAAATTGGGACAATTTAAACGGATTGTAAGATTACGTTTAGCGTTGGATATCGTGTGCTAATAGCATTGAAAAACTTGAAAGAGTAAAAAAGTGCCAGGCTTTAAAAAAGATTCAAAGGGCCAAATTTCAAAACATGTTTCGATATTGCGGCGGATGCTCTGATCGTGCTTAAATATTTTTGTATTGACGGCAATGATGGGCCAGTCAAATATTTGAGCTTGATTTGATTCCAAAATGTATTAATCTGTGTGATTGTGATCGGATTTTGACATATCAATCAAGACTGTAATGTAGACAGGATCTGTAATATATTGACTCTCTATTAGTCAGCTACTATTAACATCTGGATTATAAGGTAGCGTACCTTCACCTGGCATCATTTCAATGGTAACTGTTTTATTATTAGTAAATTAATTTCAAATTATTCCTTCTTAACTGCCAACACAAAACAATAGTCAATGGGACAAAATGTAACAAACGATTTAATATTATATACAAGAAGCTAGTATATAAAAGATGACAGACTGAGGTGATAATAAACACCAATAAGTCAAGAATATTCCAAGAGTCAAACAATCCGAGACTTTGCACACTACTTAAATCCAAAGGAAAATACCAGGAAATATAATGCAAGAAAATCAACGACCTGATGAAAATGTGGACAATAAAAAGAGACTTAAGTAAACAAAACGAAAAGATATTTCCTGGAATTTTCCAGTGAACACTGCAAAATACATGAAAAGCGATCAAGTTATTGATCACTGCATCCAAATAGTCAGACATCTCCTTTATCTAAGGCTGGAAAAAGTTTTCACATTTACCGCACAACCGAAACAACGAGATAAACGACTTATGAACGTTAATTAGTATATCGATTGTACGCCGAATGATGATGTAAGCCAATCTCAAATCAAACAAAAATTACCAGCTAAGAGTCACATCAGCAACAAAGCAATTCAATAACTGTTACCGGTGAGAAAGAAAATCATGAATGTAATATTATGTATTAAACGACTGCCCAATATTTTCAAGGAAATTTTTATCAAAAGCATAACACCTCGCCGATATTATTTGAGTTGCAATGTCTAGTCAAGGAAATTGTGAGTCATCTCAGGCCAACTCAAAAAATACTCAAGTAAGAGATCATCAAGAGCATTAAGCATGATAAATTGTGGAATAAACATAAAATTTTAAAGATATTTTTAGAACACAATAACATTGTGTAACTGTTAAAGAAATTTGAAATTCCAAAGGGACTTAAGCCAAAAGTAGCAAAAGGCAAATGAAACACATCAAGGAATAAAGGAAACAAAACAGTTCATATTGATTTATCCATATTGTTCACCTTCAAATCAGTTATATACTCATTCCAGAGTTTACCACACAATTCAAAATATAATGTTGCATCATTTACTAAAAATTCATTTAAAACAGATGCTTATTTTCTAAAAAATAATGATTTGTACGAAATGATACTACGCAGGTGAAATACGACGCAGATGTAATTTTTTGAAATCTTTTACAGTGATTGTTTTGGCTTGTTTCATTTCATAATTAGTAATATACTCTAAGGCAAAAAATATATCCAACGCAATATGAGGCTGGACATTTGTGTCTATATTCATATATTTTGCCTTTATGTTCGGTTGTTGTTGTTGTTTACTTTTAAAATAGATGTGTATGCAGTTTTAAGATGTATTAATTATTTCTGAAAAAGTCAACCTGTCACGATTAATACAAGAATAATAATAGTATTACGTATGACCTACGTATCACATACTTCTATATATACACAAATTCGACTCAACGTCGAGAAAGTACTCTTATATAATTAATGATTCCGTAATAAAAGAGATTCAAAAGGAAACAAATGATCACGTTGATATAAGTGGAACTTAAATTAAAGGCATTATAACTACCTTTAATAAGGCCACGTTTTATCTTAAATAAATGCAAACATCTATATCTATGATAAAAAAAATACGATGCACGGTTAGAAAATATCCGGACTTTTCATGCTCCTCTCTTTCCACGTGCAGCTATATACACACATTATATATTGGTGAAAAAACATTTATTCGCCAATAACGTGGTCAGTTTATTTTCAATGATAGTTGTGTATACACAGTATTTTGCCCTCTGATATATGATAGGTGTTTCGTCTATCATGGACTCTTTGTTAGAGGAACAACGCTCTGTAATAAGTTTTGGTTGCAGAGGTGAAAAGCCCATGCCACATCTTTCAGAGGCTTAAAAGAAAGATTTTAGATAATGTGTATCACGTTTCAACTTCTAAACTGGGTTTCTCAGTTTCCGTGAAGGCAGAACCAAGTGTTTGTGGACAGGCCTAGGACTAGGCGGGCAGCTGAGGCGGTGACCCCAACAATGGTAGCAAATGTTAAAGCTTTTGTCAACAAAATCGTCGAGTAACTTTGGAGGAGGTAGCCAACAAGTTTAGCATCGGTAAGGCATCGGCACACAAGATTTTACACGAACACCTAGGCATGAGCAAGGTAAGTGCCAGGTGGGTGCCTAGAAAGCTGTCCGCTGATCAAAAGGCAACCAGAGTAACCAATGCAAAAGAACATTTAAGTCGTTTTAATCGTGAAGGAGATAAGTTTTTGAACCGCATTATCACTGGAGATGAGATGTGGGTTCATTATTCCGAACCTGAGACAAAAGCTCAGTCAAAGCAGTTGAAACGAGCTGCTTCCCCACCTCCTTAAATGTTTAAGCTGTCTCCTTCGGCTGGCAAAGACATGCTTGTTGCCTTTTTGGATTAACGAGGAATGATACTTACTCATTTCATGCCAAAAGGTCAAACTGTCACCGCCAAGTACTATTCTGAAGTAATTCTGAACTAGAAATGTGTCATCATGCCACGGATGCCCCCGCATGCAGCCAAAATTTCAGATGTTATAATATTTAGTTCCAAATTTGTTTGCACAAATGATTGTTTTCATTTTAAGTTCAAAGCCCTTAAAACTTTTCAATGTTAACACAAACCATTTCCATACAATGTTCAAGGCACTGAAATTATTCAGTCTTAACCTTTTGAAAATAGCATATTTCATATTTGTAGCCAAAATAATGGCTACATACATTTCCACAAAAGTATGAGTGCTGAAACTGAAAGTTCAAAATTTTTCCAATATTCAAGAAAGATAAGTTTGTCCAAAATCATTGAACCACGACCAAATTCAAACTTAAACAGCTTATTCCTAAGATGTATCTATATTATTTTCAAAGTGAAAGGGACATAACTCTGCCAAAAAATCATCGAACCATGATCAAATTCCAACTTGACCTGCCCATTCCTTTGACATATCCATATATCAAATTTGAGTTGAATATGTAACACTGTTGGGTAGATAATGAACAGAAACTGTAAATTTCATATTAATTTCAAAGTGAAAGGGGCATTACTCTGCCAAAAATCATTGAACAATGAACAAATTCGAACTTAGCCAGGGCATTCTAAAAACATATACATATGTCAAATTTGAGTTGAATGTGTTGTACCATTGGGGAGACAATAAACGGAAACTGAAAATTTCAAATTACTTTCAAAGTGAAAGGGGTATAACTCTGCCAAAAATCATTGAACCATGACCACATTTGAACTTGACCTGCGCATTCCTTTGACGCATCTATATGTCAAGTTTGAGTTGAATATGTTGTACCGTTGGGGAGATAATGAACGGAAACTGAAATTTCATATTATTTTCAAAGTAAAAGGGGCATAACTCTGCCAAAAATCATCGAACCATGACCAAATTCGAACTTGACCTGTATTTTCTCATGACATATCCATATGTCAAATTTGAGTTGAATGTGTGCAACCGTTCTTAAGATGATGAACGGAAACTGATGATGACGGAATGACAGAATGACGGAAGGACGGAATGACGGTACAGGGTAACACTATATGCCCCGGCCATTACATGGCGGGGGCATAAAAAGTCATAAGGTATCATCGCAGTAATGCTGATAATCTGGAAGAGATTTGTGGATCCATTGTATCGTCGGTAATTCCAAGGTCACAAGGGTCGCAAATGGCACAGAGTCGGGTCAATGGTGCTAAAGTTAAGTGTGTATCGTCGGTAATTCCAAGGTCACAAGGGTCGCAAATGGCACAGAGTCAGGTCAATGGTGCTAAAGTTAAGTGTGTTTGAAGATGCTGTAAGATTGTGAGCAGATATTGAGAATACAAATCAATGTTGTTATGGTGGAATGGGAAAAAGGGCAAAGTTTTGAGTAGTGGAACAACTTCCATGAGAAGCTGTAGAGTAACTTCCGCCAACAGTGCTAGTTCCAAGAGCTAGTGCTGGGTTTTTAGTATTGCCAAAGTCATTAAGTAATTTTAGTAGGTCCATAGCTCAAGTCCGACTGGCTGATTAA